TTCGTTACATAGAAAGTGAATGTCACGTAAATCGCATAGTTGAATAACAGATTGCTACCGGCATCAAATCATCTACTTTAAGGCGAAACAAGGGGGTGGCAACTCCCTATACCTCCCACGTATTAGCTCTCGGCAGCGACAGTGCCAATTTTAGCCCTGGTGGCTGCCAGACATCCTACTAGAAATAAATCAGGAACATAAAATGTATTTCCTGACGTCACTGGTGACGTTAAGAAATAGAGGGAAAGGGAGAAAAACCGTGAGCTGGATGGTTGCCGCAGAAGCCGCCTTTTCCCACTTCGCGTGCATACAGTGCCTATTTTAGCCACTGTGGCGTGCAAGCGGAATGCACTCGTGCCTTTTTTCATGTCCGTTGGCTGCTCGGGCAATACAACCATTCGTAAAATTTTAATCGTAATCTGTAATCTGTAATCCATTCGTAATCTGTTTTTTAACTTTTATTTCGTTCGTGTTTTCTGAAGAGACTAAAGTAAAGCTGACTGATTTCTCAGTAAGACAAAACTTGGTCAACACAAATAAAATGATTTTTATTGCACGTTTTGTATAAAAACAAACATAAACGTAGTGTGAAAGTGTGAATATATGAAAGCTGCTTTAACTTACAGCATACGGACATAATGAGAAATCGTTCAGCCCACAATATCCGAACCAATGAAAAAATTACGAGCAATCGCGAGTAGGACACGTTGTATTTGATTCAATGACGTTAGTTATGAGGATGCGCACAGTTTTCTTACCGAACTTGAGTACCAAATGAGACTGAAGTTCAAAGGCTTGAAGCGATCAGACGTTTATCGAGAAAGAACGTCGCTGGAAACAGTGTTTCGGCAAGATGACTTGTCTTCGTAAGGGCAGCAGCGTTGCTTTGACGAAGTAAAGTTCGCTTGTCAAAACGTAGCCTCCACGACAATCTCTGTAATACTTTTTTAGAAGCATTTAGTCCATCACGTGTGTCCGAGTTACACTATTAAAAGTGAAGACTCACGCATTTTCAAACTGCTCCTAGAAGAATTTCATTAAGCGACCTATATTTACTTGGCATCATTTGAATTATACACGCCGAAAATAAAAAAAAAATAAAACTATGTAGCCAAGCCAGAATCGAAGCATTTCAATAAATGCATTCTTTTAAGAGAGCTCAGCTGTCGTCTTCACCAATTATACAAGCGATACTGCACTTCTTTCAGTGCAGTCAGACTTGCAGAGAACTGGGTTTAATTATATATGTACCCATGCAAAATCAATAGCTGCTCAAAAAATTGGTCCGAATTCCTGTGTTTACCCGTTGTCTTTAGGAAATGCTGAAGAACCTTCGTGGAACTAGCAATTTCCGGGTTATCACACCGCAGAGCCGCGCCAAACATGTGTTGTCCATTTGAGTAATTTTTGGCGAACGCATGACCGACCTGTCCAGCGTAGATCACTGCGGCTTCCTTCTCTGCAGCCACAACTTGCTGTCTTTACCTTTCTCGTAGCCCCGCCGCGGTGGTCTGGTGGCTAAGGTACTGGGCTGCTGACCCGCAGGTCGCGGGATCGAGTCCCGGCTGGGGCGGCTGCATTTTTGATGGAGGCGAAAATGCTGTAGGCCGGTGTGCTCAGATTTGGGCGCACGTTAAAGAATCCCAGGTGTCGAAATTTCTCGAGCCCTCTACTAGGGCGTCTCTCATAATTATATGGTGGTTTTGGGACGTTAAACACCACATATCAATAAATTATTTATCTTTCGCGTAGTTGACACGCCAACCAAAAGAGATAACAGAGCGTGATGCAACTTTTAATAAAGCTGATCGAGGTGTAAGAAGGAGAGTAGGCAATCACTACGAACGCAAGTCAATCACTTCCCGCGCTTCTCCTGATTTAAAATTCAGAAAGTAAGGAATAAGAAAAGACGCAAAGAAGAGAACTTTTTACAGGGGTATCATCTTTTTTTTATTTGTGAAAACTTTCGAAAGCCAATAAATGTGAACATTCACATCAACCTCACTCTGTTCAATCGGATCTTAATATGCCCGCCAACCGCTACGAGCGTGCATGTTCCTTGAAAGTGAAACTAGTGCTCAGTGTCTGGGGCCTGGCGAAACGATGACGCTGAATCCAGTCCCCCCCCCCCCCCCACACACACACACACGCACTACGCTCTGAACATTACGCTCTTTACTTTATATATAGTTCCACTAATTCCATCACAGCAAATCACCGTGTAAGAGTGTGATCAAGGAACCCCGTACAGGTCCCGAAACGTCTTTGTGTTTTCACCTTAATTTGTCAATGACCACACCTTCATCATCATGATGATACCTGACAAGACGAACTTTTGTCAAACTCTTGACTACCGTAAATTTTATGTGGATCGCTGCTATTTACCTAAATGTTGAGAAACTAAGACTTTTCTTGTTCTTGTTCTTCTTTTTCTTATTATTATTCAACTTCATACGATGACATGAGTGATTTACCACCCCTATTTCTCTTTTCTCTTCTCTGTTCTCTTTCTGATCTTTCTATTTCCCTCCCCTGATATCCCCCTGTGTTTACGGTAGCCAAGTGAAAGTCTTTCTGGTTAACCTCCCTGCCTTCTTCCTTTATGTTTGCTTCCTTGGCCTAAACAACAACAGCACATAATAGTCACCTCATTGAAGCACAGACCAAGAAAGATACTCGTTTCGTTTAGGTAGGCGGGCAAGATTAGCAGATTATCTGAAGATTCGTTCACCCTTCCTGAATAAGCGTGTAATGTAGCCTTCTTTCGAGGCCTTCTGAGCACTTCGCCTGTAGCGACTGCAACTGGCGAAATACTAGGAAGTGCTCCGAAGCATTCTCTGGGAAGCTAGCTTACGGCTTTTTAAATTTGATTTCTATATAGCAATACATTCCGTATTCATCATTTCTTGAAAGTATAAAAGCTGGGCGTTCAAACAACAGCAAGAGACTAGTTTTATCAGACTTGATGTATGCTTCAGAACGATGTGGGAAGTGGTGAAGGGGAGAGTCAAAGTTGGCTGTTTAAAGTTATTGGCGCTTATACGAGTTAATTCTCTCTCTCTCTCTGCCCATGGTGCCGAAATAAGGACATGACGGAGACTATAGAGTTTGATTTTTGACGTAAGCTAATAACACACACACACACACACACACACACACACACACACACACACACACACACACACACACACACACACACACACACACAAACGCGCGTGCGCACGCATCACACACACTGCACCACAGGCTAAGTACTACCAGCGGTCTAAGTACTACGTAGTTCAGTTCGCATGATCGTTATCAAGATGAAAATTTCTGTGTCCACTCGTTTCGCAGCCATGCGATGGCCCTCCATCAAGCACCGGCAGCCTCCCGCGTTTCCTATTCATTTATCCGACCACGGATTACGAGCACAAGTGTTACAGAATATATGGCGCTCCCCCGTTGCTCGCACTTGTAATGCGTAACATTTCAGCTCGTCTCGATAGGGACGCGCATGTGTCGGAAGTGTGGCAATCGAGGATGGTATCTTTCCTCCGCCGTCAGCGTCACGCTGCCAGATGATTGGTGACAAGAGAGGGAGCGGACACGGTGCGCAGTGTAGTAGAGCTCTGGGGATAAAGCGAAAATGGAGATGGGAGAGGACTGGTGCGAGGAGGGTTACGCCGATCAAGTGCTTGGACCCGGGCCAAGGCGGCTGCGATTCCGCCTCTACCGGCACGCCACGCAGCACTAGCTCAAAGCCAGAGAAAATGACAGTCGGTTCGTCGAGGGGCGGTTGGTTGCGAAGTTTTTCTAGCCGAGCCACCGGAACGAATGAACGAGGGGCAACAACAAAAAAGTGCCGCACTTCATTCTCGCTGTCCTTTCCGCGCGTCATATCTGTGTATACGTTCTTGCGCACAGGAGCCCCTCACGGGAGCAGGAAAAAAATCGAGTGAGTGTGAGGTTTAATATACGATCATCTATCTATCTCTCTCAGCCCGGGAGAAAAAGAACGCCGGCTGTTTGTGGCGCAGCAGTGTCACGAAGAAACGGTGCTGGCTTTTGTGCCGGTTTACTTGACGCTTTCGCTGAAAGAAGAGGGTACTCGTGAGCGCACGGTGGTTTGCGTAATTGAGTTTACTGGTTGTAAACCTCCAGCCAGAACGGGGGGTGATGAGCCGCAAAACTCGCCCTAAAAAGCGACCTCGGTTTTCGCGGGGACGCACGACTGCACGAAGTGGTCGGGCAATGATGTGCCGCCCATTCAATGTGCGGAGAGAGTTGATGGAGTCGAAAAACTTCAAGCTAACGGCACTGAGAATGAAAAGGAAAAGAAGAAACCGAAGAAAAGAAAGAAAAACTGACATGAATAAGACAGAAATCCCAAAGTTTTATGTAGAAAGCACAGAAATGAAGTGCAGGCGAACTGGCGTTCCTCTTTTAAAGCCTCTGTTTCGGGGAGGCCTTTTGCATGCGTTTATAAGCAGTTCGTGTTGTCCCGATGTGGCACCTATAGGGTTCACCGTGCTTAATAATCACTCAGAATATATAGAGACGATGACGAACGGCACGCGAAGCACATATAGCATGTCTAGAATTGATGGAATAAATTTCGTTTTTCATTGTTTTCCAGGCTGGTGTTGTATAGGCTGTTAAAAGCTACGGTCATATTACTATGGTTAATGACCTCGATTGATTCACATTCTTTGGCGCGCGTGAACCAAGAATTGCTTCAGACAGAAGTCTCCAGTTCATCGCCAGTTTCCACATTATTCGCCAGTTCACATTATTCGCTGAACCCACAATTTATACAGTGACCATTCCACTCAGAGTGGACGTCAGTGAAAAGTGATGACGAATAAGTCACTTCACGAAATTTATGGGGCGTTTTATTGGAGTATGCTTTGTTCAATCCATTGTAATCATGCGAGTGGTTTGAATAGAGGTAAACTACAGAGTCGATGACCTGAGCAAGTCGTTAATTGGAGCTTGTCCTCGTTTCTGTTCGCACTCAGTGGGACCTCGTGTGCAACAGGAGAATTCTGGCGACCCTCAGCATGTTTCTCTTCGGCACCGGTCTTCTCGCGGGCCACTGCCTCTCGGTCCTCGTGTCACACAGGTGGAGGCACTTTCTTATTATTTTTTCTCCTTCGCCGGACAAAAGTAAGCGTACTGAGAGACAAGCGTGTCACGCTTGGCAAATGAAGGGAGGACATTGAACCACCCCATGAGCCACTTAGATCCGGCCTTGTACTAGAATAAGGAATGAGCGTTGAATGAGATCTATCCCACGATCCGTTGAGCTGACGAATCGCTTTAAGAGTGCCGACGTGGTCACTCTGTATGTGTGTCTATGATGCGAATCGGGCCATGAAGGCATGAACGACGTCGAAATGTTGGCAAAGAACACGCGGACGTGAGGCAATTTACTCGGACGTTTCTCGTGTTTCGATAACATCGTGCTAGGTTCGGTCATTCAAAACACTCTGTCCTGTAAATCGTTTTATGCAGACTGACAATGCTTAACGAGTCAAAATGTTTAGCGTACACGCACCTGGACGGTACAACAATGTTTATTAACGAGAGGGTTGGTGTGGCCTCAACTTCATTCTTGACTTGACGCTTATTAGAAGAAGATAAAGGACACAGTCATCAGAAAAGCATGAGCTGTTGATTTGCGGTTGAGCGGAAATGTAGCCATCTCAGAGTTCTCTGTAGACAAAGTTATAACTTTTAGGTTTCAGTAATTATTATTTAAAAGGAAAAAAATAAAACAACCACCAGCTGTGTTTCAAGGCGCCAGAAATAATAAATGATTAACATTACATTTCCGGCGTAATACTTGGTGGATGCACTAGAGGAAAAGAATCCCAATACAGGTTGTGAGTTTCGGAGGCCCTAACCCAAGACACAGATAGACTTGTACATAACATATATATTAAATGGCATAGATGGATGTAGAGCGATGAACAAGACAAAATAGAGAACAATAGAATATGTGTAACAAGAGTAACGAATACATGTACGTATGAGAAAATATAATTTCTAGAAACAAACTCTCTGTTTAAGGGAAGACAAACAGCAATAGCGTGTCGACGAACTCGCCAAAATTAAGTCTACTATTAGCAACGTGTTTTCGCTCAAACCTGTTGTTCAAAGAAGTACGACCGTGAATTCCAGTTGCAGTCGTGTTAGCAGAAGTTTCAGCGCATTGTTGCTGCGCCTAAAAACGGGCCAGCATTAGCTGAGTGCCAATGCTTGTCACATTGCATGTCTCAGAGCTGTTATTCATTAAAGTTTAAATCTCGTATGCCTTATCAGCTATTCGGCGTGAACACGAATGGTTTAAAGAGTTATAAGAAATAAGCTAAAAGACAAAACGTCAAACCGAGGTGATAAAGAAGAAGCGTCAGGTGGTTTTGTAAAAACGTAATAGAAATAAAAATATATTCTTGCGCGAACTTGCGTATCTAGCTGTTCGTCCTCATTGGTGAGCTTGTTATACTTGTGGTGTGGACCAGGGTATTTTCATGTAGTTCCCCCCAACCCCCCCTAAATTTTTGTATGTCTTTATTGGTTTGGGAACCTATAGAACCCCAGATAGAAGATATTTGTTGTAACGTGCCGGTGCAGCATGCATAACACGTTGTGCCCGTCAATAACCGAGTTTTCAAGCAGTGCCAGCGAGCACGCTTGAACAGATGCCTATAGTAGCTTTTGCCTTCAGTCGTCATAGCGTTAATTAAGAAACACCCGAGAGCGGTGTTCTTTATTGTACTCTTTACCATTTTTTAAAGTTCATTTCAAACACTTTGTTTTCTGTAACTACCGTCTGAGAGCGGGAACTATATAAAAAAGATAGTAGAAAAGAAAAAAAAACCAAGAATGCTGAAATTAAACTATAGAATGCGTTAGGTATTTGAAAGATTCGTCCCCCACAGCGTTGTAGCGATAGTCTTTACGAAAGCAATAGAAACTAGACTGTAGGGTACTATACTAAGTGGTTACTGTACATACGCACCACCTCTTCTTGTCCCCATCATCACCCTTCATCCCTCTTTCTTTCCCCTTTCCCTTATCCCCTGTGTAGAGTAGCAGGCTAGAGCGAACTAGCTCAGGCCGACCTCTCTGCCTTCTAATAAATTATCACTCACTACTTTACGAAATCGATTTCCAAGGCGCATATTCACGTGAACAGGAAGCAAAGCTGCAGTGAGAGTAGCAATAATGCACTGTAGTGTGAAACTTCTTAGTGAGCTGCGCAACAAGCGTACAAGATGTTTCAGCGTATTGCTGCTGAAATACTCGCGTGCAGATATCTATAACAGGTGTTTGCAATGATTCCACCTGCGCGAGAACTGAATCATATAATCATGATTTCAAATGCTCCACAGGTGGGGTCAACGTGCCTCTTTTACGACATTCCTGTTCGTCCAATGCCTATTCGGCATGATAGCTGCTCTGTCGTCGAAGTTTCTTGTCTTCCTGCTGTTTCGAACACTGGTGGCTGTTGGAACGGCCGGGACGTGGACTTCACTTTCTATACTCGGTGAGTGCGTTTTTCTCAAGCTAGAGACTAGCTTCCATCTGCAAAGTGCGACAAGTTGTGCAAAACTATAAACAGCAACCATTTCAAGTTATAGTGTGGGATACTTCGTCGTTGCACATTTCGTCAACGGCGCTACGAAATCTTGATTCTGGCCAAGCGAGTTGCAGTTTACATGATGCGTATCAATGTATAAGTAAAATGCGCCATGTAGAAAAAGACAGGTGCTCGAGCTAGACGTTCTTGCACAGGTAGAATTCTCCTGTTCGGTGTAATACAATTTAGCTACCCACAAACAAACAAACAAACAAGCAAACAAACAAACAAAAACAAGCAAAACATACAAGCAAACCAACAATGAACACAAGACTTAGGCATGCTCACAAATAATTAACTGCCCTGTCCTTTAATGGACATGTACACAAGCACGTGATTACGAGTAAAATCTATGCTTCAGAAACAAATTGCGCAACCAGAATTTCCGGAATATATATATAAAAAGGTAAACTAATGTATCATTTGTGGAATCTCTGCTTTCTTCTTCCTTCCATCTAACAGCTCCAGCAATTTTTCTACCATGTTGTAACTTATGCACTGTTTCTTGATATGTATACTTGACAAATTTCAAGTTTCCCAGCACATGTCGATTTTTTTTTCGAGCCCGCTGCCACTGCCAATGAGCGGGAGGTCCCGGAGGTATGTGTTTTTGTCATGTGTAAAACACATGACAAAAACCTTCCGCGCGCTTGTTTTACATCTTTTATTGCCTATTGCGGGAGTTCTGTGTCATATTCACATTCGAAAGTGCTTGCATAGAGCATGGTTTTCTTCGCAGTGGGCGACCTGGCAGGCCGGAGGCATCGGGCCGGTGCCCTGGTGTGCTCGCGGCTGGCGCATGGACTGGGCCTGTTGCTGCTTGGCCTGGTGTCACTGGCCGTCCGAGGCTGGGGACACCTAGCAGCCGCCACGTCGGTGCCCTTCGTCGCCTTCCTCGTCTACTGGAGGTGCCCTGCCATTTCATCCTTCCTCATCTCCGTTCACTCGGTCATTCGGTGCACATTGCGAGTGAGTGCCGATGAAAAACACTTGGGGCCTTGATAACCGGTACACCCACCACGTTGGTCTGGTGGCTAAAACACTCGGCTGCTGGCCCGCAGGTGACCGCATTTTCGATGGAGGCTTGTGTGCCTGGATTTTAGTGCACGGTAAAGAACCCCAGGTGGTTAAAATTTCCGGAGCCCTTCATTATATACGGCGTGTCTCATACTAATATGATGGTTTTGGGATGTTAAACCCCAATAAATATTACTGAACGGGTATCCATTAATCAAGTTTTGAGCTGAGCTTGTTGGCTTGCGTTTGCCATGGTGAAACAATTCAGACGACGGGACGAGATAGAGGATACAATGCAACGATATGTCTCGGCCGATTGGCTCTAAAACAGAAAGAAATAATCAAGAAGTCAATCTCACTTGATGGAACGACAACTTAAATAAGCACCAAGCCAAAACATACCGAGGTCGCAACAAACGAAAAGGGCGAAAACGACCACGTATTCTTTTTTTTTCACGAACTCTAAATTTTCCGGGTATATGCATGAAGCGTTCGAATGAACGCAAATAATAAAACAATATTCTCACTTGTGCAAAACTTAAGCGCTGTTCATATCCTTATCCCGGTATTAACATTCACCCTGCTTAAGCAGTGTGTGAGCGGAAGATGCGGCTAACTGAAAGAATGACAAAGACACGAATGATTACCGAGCGCGAACCGTGGGAAGTTCTTGCCTTACATAACAAACTATTATTCTTTTTTAGGATCATACCTAACTCCCCAAAGTGGCTTCTTGCACGCGGAAAGCTCGACCATGTGGAGAAACTGCTGGTCGCCATCGCCCATACGAACGGAAGACAGGTTGACTACCTGTACTGCGAAAAGGTAGGCTGAGATATACAGTGTTTTATAAAAAATGTGTTTGTATGACGCGTGTCCTGTAGTGCCGTGAATTGAGTTATAGGGCGAAAAGCCGAATATATTGTATCGTGAACCATGGGAGCTCTCTGACATTAAGCTGGAGCCTCTATGTTTTATCTAAGTCGTATTGAACAAGAAACGAGGATAACGGCACTATCAAAAGTGCATCTTGAAAAACAAAAACTTTATTTTGTATCCGGCGTGTTAATGGGCTGGGTTTCCACCCAGGTGTCGGCTAGAAAGGTATTTCCTCCTAGCGGCTTCCTCAGCCCACTGGATTGCCCCGAGTTGATTCTCCAAGGCTGAACTGAGCATTACGGCCCGCCAACGTGAGCGGAGGCGGTTTGTGGAGGCCGCGTTCTGAATACTGTTTTTGAATCCCTGACATTCCCATAGGATATGTTCTAAGGAAGCTCGTGACTGACAATATTTGCATTGAGCGGTCGTGTAGATCTCAAGATACATAGCGTGTAGTAGCACTGGATTCTTATAGGATCTGGTTTGTAATTGCCGCCATTGGACAGACCGTGCCCGGTTGAGTACATGGTGAGGTGAGAGGTAAACACGCCTCTGCAATTTATGATATTTGGTAAGCTCATCCAAAGTAGTAATTAGGTCCTCTTATTCCCACACGCAAGGCAATTCTGACGAGGGATCCTTATTCTTCTAGTTATTTCGCTGTCATGGTTCGCCCTCACGGTTACTTTCTGTCCTAAGTAGACATATTCCTTTACCAAACTTCCACCGTCTTTCCACCTGTCGCAAAGTGCTGCTTTCCACCGAGACTGTTGCGCATTACTTTCGTTTTGTGCATATCAATTTTTAGACCTACTCTTCTTCTTTCCGTGTCCAGTTCAGTAATCATAAGCTGTAATTCATTCCCTGAAGTACTCATCAAGCAATGTCATAAGCGAATCACAGGTTGATACTCTCCATTAACTCTTATCCCTTTTTCCAATCTAGGGCCCTGAAATTTTCCTGCAAATATGCGGTGAATAGTATTGGAGATATCGTGTCTCCCTGCAGCCTTACACCCTTTTTATTGAGATTCTGTCGCTTTTTTTATGAAGAACTGTGGTGGCTGTAGATCCACCGTATATTTCTTCCATATATGTTTATGTAGGGGTCATCGATGCACTGATTCCGTAGTGCCTGCATCACTGCTGATGTCTCGATTGAGTCAACCGCCTTCTCGTAATCTATGAAAGGTATATATAGAGGCTGGTTGTATTCCACACATTTCTCTATTACCTGATTGGCAGTATGAATATGGCCTATTATGGAGTAGACTGCACAAAATCCTACTTGGTGCTTTGGCTTATTTAACTCTAATGTCGCCTTAATTTTATTAGCTATCATTACTATTGTAAATAGTTTGTAGAGGGCAAACGGTAAGCTGACTGGCCTGTAATTTTTCAAGTCCTTGACGTCTCTTTTCTAATGAATTTGGATGATGTTGGTGTTCTTCCAAGATTCTGGTACCGTTGCCGTCAAGAGACAGTGTATATGGTGACCAGTTTTTCTAACACAATTTCTCCGCCATTTTTCAGCAGGTCCGTTGTTACCTTATCCTCACCAGCGGCTTTGCTTCTTTACATTTCTTTTGGAGCTTTCCTTGCTTCCGCTGTAGTTACTGCTAGGATGTCAAATTCATCTGGGCTATTATTGCCTGTTACGATATCATCCTGGTTGTAACATAACATGTCGCTGGAATATCTCCCTTGGCTGATTAGGTTGATGGTACAAAACTACTATGGTTTTGAAGACAGTATCACATTTGCATAACTAACATATCGAAGGGAGATGAGACGGCTCCATTTGCTCGTTGGCGCACGTAATAACTCATCGACAAGTCTAGCCGATATACATGTGGACATAAAGCAAGAAAAATTATCATTTAACTGCTACACAACAACTAACAAAACAACTGACATCACTCTGACCGAAGTTTTCTTTTGTCATTGCAGACTATAAATATAGAGAATTTTACGCATCAAAATATCATTCGAAGATGCTGTAGTTGATGGCTCCGGAAATTTCGACCATCTGGTGTTCTTTGCCATGCACTAACATTGAATAGTACATATGGGCCTCGACCACTGCGCCTCCACCGAAATGAGGCCGCCATGACCGGGATCGAATCCACGAACTTTGCGTCAGCAGCAGAGCACCATAGCCACTGTTCCACTGTAGCGGACCTTACTTCCGATGCCGTGAGTAGCATAACGTCACAATGCCTTGTTCAACAATATTCGAATGCGCCGACGTGAAATGCTGGCTTCGATAAACTCGCAAAAAACTGTGAAGCATGTACTAAGAAACTGCAAATTATCAGAAAAAAGGAAGCTCACAAATAAATGCAAGTCCCATTTCTTTTTTTTTTTTGAAGCGAATTGAGAATGTGCTCACTTCTTTGTATAGCGCGTGGCTTGTGAATTAAAATAAAATATTAATTGTACCTGAACACCGTAAAACACCTCTGCAGTTTGGTTACATACGATCACAAACAATTAAATAATTGTTCAACTTATGAACAAGTAATCATTGAATAACAATGAATTGGGTGTCAGCTCCCATAGCTCACGATGGCACGTTTTGACTTCGTGTATCGGCACGCAATCATTCATTCACATGCCGCTTAACAGCTACATCTCGTGCACAACCGCTCGAATACAGACTGCATCGCATTTCATGCTTATATGTACAAGAAGGTGCGTTCAGACATGTATAGTATTTCGAATGTAATGATAGTCGAGAATCGGGGACGCCTTTCATTTTTATTTTTCGTTTGGTTCTCCTACGGCGCGGCGCCAAGGAGCAGCGGGCGAACAGTCGTTGCTCTCGACTGGTTCGACGTACGCACTTCTCCCATAGTGCGTTGCGCACTCGCGGGGGGTTCTGGGATTGCTTGACAAATGGCCTATTCTGGTGGCTTCGTCAGTGTTCGCCGCTTGGGAGGCACTTGGGATGGTGTCGTGGTGTGATGGCGGTGTGCTAATAATCGGCACCTCCTCCATATGTCATGGCCGGTGAAGAGACTTTCATTTCATTTATTGAAGCCTTAAGTGCCAGAACGCAATACATAAGACGGATCAGTAGAAATGGAGATTACGACAGTAATAAAAGTAATTTATTGGGCTGACTTGCGCTTGAAACGAAGCCAACACGAATCGCTCGCCCCTCGGTGGGGGTCTATAGTGCCCAAGGAACTCGGCTGCGGGCCCTCAGGTTATGGAATCAAAGGCGAAAAGACTGATGGCCTGTGTGCTCAGATTTAGATGCAAGTTAAAGAACCACAGGAGGCAGAAATTTACGGAAACCTTTACTACGACGTCTCTCATAATTATATGGTGTCTTTGAGACGTAAACCCCACATATCAATCACGCACCACTCGGTTGCTTGGTTGGTGCGAAACTTTATTGTGTTCCTGCAAGGCGCGCTTTAGCGCGCAGCGAGAAAGTCTCACGTCGAGACCGTTAGGCCAAGCCTATCGGCCGCTCCACGAGCCTGCTGGACGGCCCAAGTTGGTCGGCCAAAAGGGAGCTGCGTAGGGCCGCCTCCCACCTGATTGAATTGGTGTCGGTGTGCGCCAGCGTGGCTACGTCCCCACATGCGGGGCAAGTGTCATTGGGGAACACGTCAGGATAAATAGCGTGAAGGGACCTCAGGTTAAGGTACGCGTCAGTCTGCATTAGTCTGAGTGTAAAGGCCTGTGGCATATTAAGTTTTGGATGAGGGAGTAGATATAGTATTCGCGCGAGGTAAAAATGTTTTGTTATTTCGTATACGTGGCAGGCGCGTCCCTGTTTTCCGCAGCCCCGTTGGCCCCGAATCGTTGCCCAGAACTCAGTGATGGTGAAAAATACAGGATAGCGGGCCCGAACACTGGATACCAGACTGCTCGGCAGTGGATGCAGTGGTCCCCTATCTGTTCGCTGCGTCGCAACCAAGGTGTAACTGTTATCACCGTGGTCGCAACATATCGGGCATTATGATGCCGCACGGCTGCACTAGATCACATGCGTGACGCTGGTAAAGAACTCATTACGACAGCGCAGTCTGATTATTCTTTACTAAATGCACGTGACAATATTGGTACTTAAGTTTCATTATTGCAAACGAACATCCGGTGGAAGAGAAGAAAAAACATTGAGTGAGATACGAGGGCGCGAATTCGTATGCCATTTCCGCCACACCATTTATTGACTTTCTGAAAGTGTAGTAAGGGGTCTTGCGATCATGTTAACCATGGGTGGTATTAGTGGCACCAGTGTTATGCATTCGCTCAAAGGTGTTGCTTAAATTCAAGAGGGGTTGGAGGGGATTAAAGCATAGACGGGCATTGCGCGTACGTATGTTTGTATAGATGGTATCTGTGTGTTGTTTATCACTATAGGCAAGGACCTGTGCCACCCATTAAATTTGGTTGTACGATTCGGACTCCCTCGTAAGCCCTTCCTGTGCCGTTAACCCGAAAGGTGCTTATCGCGCTCTCGTTGCAAATGTGCCCATAGGTATATATACGCTGGAGCTGGAATGTTTTCCTCGTGTGCTTTGATGAAGCGAGGCCCACACGCGACCTCTGCGTGCTGTTTGCTGCGTGGGTACAGCCGCATGTCGTAATCATACTCGACGATCGAGTGTGGTCATTTTTCTGTCCGCAGGCAGCGAATCCACGGTCGGCAACAGCCTGCTTTTGTTTTCGTTTGACAAGGCGGTGGAGGCGGAGGAGGAGGAGAAGGAGAAAAGAAATAAGTAGAAGGACATGGATGTTAGTTTTCAGATCGGCTGGCTTCCCTGTGCTGGTGAAGGGAAGTAAAAGATGTTGGAAAAAATATGTTACAAAGACAGAGAGAGAAAGAAAAGGCGAAGATAGTAAAATCAGAAGAGCATAATTAAATAAATTAAGATACTAAAGTGTGTCTCTAAGGAATAATGGTTGTGTATAAATGGCGTGCCACACATAAGGAAAAAAAAGGGGGGGAGAAATAAAAGAAGGATATGAAAACACGTCGATGAATTCTTTCCATTCACCAAAATAATATATTTTTAAAAAGCTGTTCCGAAAAAATAATCATGTCTCATGTACAAGAAGATCTTCGGAAAATGCCTCTTCACACGACTGCTTGCGTTCATGCATCATACAGCACTTGTGCAATGTCGGTCAGTGCCTCATTTTGCAAGTTTATTCCCATACTGGCAAAGCGATACGACGTGTCTTTAGTAACACACATACAATGTGTCGGTTGACTTTTATACATTCGAAGTAGCGATGCGGGGAATCGGAACAGCGTTTATAAGTATCCGTATACGCAGTTCAGAAATAAAGATATGTGAAAATATTCTGGTCCTCTCGTTGTTTGGTTAGGCCCGTGGGCTCAGATTTGGGTGCACGTTCAGGAACCCCAGGTGTGCGAAATTTCTGGAGCTCTCTACTACGGCGTCTGTCGTAATCATATTGTGGTTTTGGGACGTTAAATCCCACATATCAATCAATTATCGTTGTTAGCGTAATGCAAGTCTTGGAGTAATTCTTTACTCATCCACCTGTGAAGCTCTTAAGACCACCCATGGCAGCCTAGTGGTTATTGTGCTCGACTTCTGACCTGTAGATCGTGGGATCGAATCCCAGCGGCGTTTTTTACGGAGGTAAAATTGATCGAGGCCCATGAGCCCCAGGAGGTCGAAATTTCTGGAGGCCTCCACTAAAGTGTCTCTCAAAATTATAGCCTGGTTTTCGGACATTGAATCCTATTAATTGTTATTATTGAAGCTCAAAATGTTGTCTGCATGTTCTTTGCTCTGTATATGCTTTTTTTGTTTTTTTTGCGAAGCTTCTGTACCTTTATTTATTTTGTATCTATGTGTTGGAGCTGTGGAACTTTTCGTTATACAGTCATCACTGATGATCTCACCATTGTTTTCGTTACTTAATATATGCGAGGTGTTTAGCGTAGTGAGAGCCAAACATTTAAATAAGTGCTTAGAGGTAATTGAGTAAAACCAAAGACATAGGTTTCGCCATCATGTGGTGTTCGCAAGGGTTTTTCTTCTGTATTAAATATAAATACTTAACTAAGGACGATTACGCGCTGTTTCTGGCATTCACTTTAGGTCAGGTACATTTCGTTACCATGTTGAAGACATTGCAAAAAGACCAATCAATTTTTTTATGTGTGGCAGTGCACATGCTGCGAGCCAATTTTTTTTCCGGCGTTTAAGAGAGTTCACGAAATACGTGGGCTTCGCTCCAAATTTCGGTGCGCTCGTGTCGTCCACTTCTGGTTTTGTCGTGTTTTTCACTTAACTCGAGTAAAAAAAAAACATTTTGTTTTTAAGCAGTTTAGTGCTCCTCCTTTCCCTACTGCTTAAAAAATAAATTTTACTTGCCCTACTGCTTACAAAATAAATTGCTTAGAAAATGAATTAACTACGCACAATCTGAGAGCTCCGCGGAGTTTACTCCCTGTGTATCATACTTGACCACGGTTTCCACATTTCTTATTTTGCTTCCCCTTAGCTCCGGACATCCCTGACGCACATGGGCAGTCGTGGCGGCAGCGACAGCGCCGCAGTCCTCTACTTCCGAGCAGCCAGGGCCCAGGCCGCGAGGCGGCGGCGTGTCGTCGTCGTCCTCATCGTTGGGTATGCAAGACGCTAGGGCGCCTCTCGTGCGCTAAAGAGGAGCACCGGTCTCGGCTGAGACGCGCTCTTTCACGCGACAGTAGATGCGGCCAAGCGAGCTGACAGCGGCGACAGGGAGACGGCGACGACGCATCTCGAGGAAAAGTCGGCTGACGGGAAGAAAAAGAAAGACGCAACGGGGACGGGAGGAGGGCAGTGGTTGACAGCTGTGCCTTTGTCCCCGTCGTGCAGTCGCCATCATGGATCGCTGCCAACTTTCCGAGTTTGCAGCATTAGGGCAGTCGGACGTATCGTAATTAGCCTTGAAGTTCGAGTAAGCAAATGTGGGCCCTGCGCGTATGCTCCATTGCTTTTTATCGTTTTAATTTTGGTTCATATATAAACGCAGGGGACAAAAGTTTACATTTATAAGTGAGACGTATAGTGCGTGCAAGAACAACAAAAAACAAAAGAAAGACAAAAACGTGATAGTACTTTATTGAGCGCACTTTCCCTTTGTCGATCCCAAAATGTAAGGGGAAATATAGAGGCTGTTTGTAGCGGCATGAGAAAACAAGAGAGTTAAATAAAGAGCTGTAATATGATGTAGCCTGGCGTTAGAACCATGGGTCATGCTTGTGTTCGCTGTCAGCGGAGCCACCACTTTTGTCAGCGTGTTACCACTGTGGCATCAGTAGCTGCAGCCTATAGGAAGATCCTTGCCGGAAGCGGAAGCACACTGCCGGCACTCTCAGAGAAACGTCATTCACGAATACAACCGACGTCATCCTCAGAAACTTTAGCATATTGTCTTCTTTACAATGTTTGTGCACACAGAGACAAAAAAGAGAAACACATGAACGGGTGCAATCTAACAACTGATTTATGATTCTTATTGTTGTTATTTAGAACATTCACTTAACTCTCAAATCTACGCAATCTGGTAACAAAAACTGATGAACAGCGCACATGGCACAACTTTTGATCACATGCCCTATTGAACAGATGACAGGGGTGAATTGCTTTCTCAAGCAAGGCGACAGAGAGGTAGTTAACACACTATTTCTTTCTTACTAGGGGACCTTCGACGCCAAAATTTTGGTCTGTCTCTCTGTCTGTTTGTTCGCGGTAACGATATTCCAAACGACAATGCACCATACCTCAAACGGCCAACCCCCACCGCAGCGCCCGCCAATATTGCTCAAGTTTCAGCGTTAATACTTGCGTCAATGTCTACTAAAAAGCCAATATTGCGCATTTCTGAGGCACCCTAACAACACGTTGATGTTTTTATGTGTGTCTTTATACTAGAGAAGGCACACACAAGTAATTTCAAGGGCTGCAGCGTTTATCACGCTGCGCTGGCAGTGCAACGCGATGGTCAAAAAGGCAAGTGTGTCCAACGCTTTGCTAAGACGACACGGTGGTGACACCTGCCCATCACTTTGCGTTCTGCACTTATCGCCTTCGAGACAAGCACGCATCTGTCTCCGTGGACGCGCACGCCTTCCTTTGTTTTCTAAGATAGCTGCCAGATGGCGCTCGTGTCTAACGTGCCTCGATGCGCTCGTTCGCCTTCGCTGCACGGATCGAGGCTCTCTAACGCAGCGCTTCCAGAATACAATTCACCGATTTTCTCGCGCAGAACATCAAATAAACGCTTTATGCACTCTCTTCACGCGAAAGACTGTCGTCTTTCGACGACATTTGCAGTAAAACAAGAAAATACGGCGCTAATTTTATTTTGCTTGTCAACGAAAATGGCCTCCACTATCTCTCTTGAAGTTTGATTGCGATGCCTGTATTTGATGGTGGCACTACTAAAACATGACGTGCATGCACAAGTATTGCAATGCTGTGCTAAATGTCTAGTTGGCCAATTTTTAAGACTCGTCATGTGTTCTTTTAGCCTCATTTTAATTCATGCGCCAGTCACTCAACCACACGTGAAAAGAATACTGTACACTCCATTGTTCGCACATTCAACAAACTTTTTTTAATACCACAGTCTTTCTTTACACTGTCCACGTTATCACGTTTCTGATTAACCAACGCGCACACACCTCCAATTTCGATTTTGGCCGAGAACACCACCTTGACATCGTAACTTCCAGCTACCACTTTGGCTTTATTGTGTGAGATAGCTTGCTCACGCCCATATGAGATCACCACCAGTTTCGGGCAAGAATCAATCTTTCTTGTTCCAAAAATGTGTCATTTTTCTTTTTATGCATCTTTATTAGCCTGGTGCCTATAGTCTGCATCACAGACAATAGGTACCCTGCGTCCTGCAGCCGAACCACCTGAACATGAAACGCGCTATGAGCAGTGTGAAAACAAGATTTTAACACGGCTGATAAAAAACAATTTTTTGTTAAATTCTTTCTTTACAATCTCAAAGTGATTTAAAGCGAAGTTTATGAGTGGCTTCTTAGCCCGAGACAAAAAGGTGCAATACAGGTGGTCTGCCAAAAACTGTAGCTTGATATCCATAAATTTCAACTGCTGTCTCATCGGTATTTTACAAATGAAACTTAATGCCTTGCCTAGATTATTGAATAACTTTACCATGGTTTTTCTGAAGTCCTCTTTGTGAACTGCACATCATAAAATTAAGCTGTCGTCTACATATATGCAGACCTTGTAAACTACACCTTGTGAACACCTTCCTAAGTATCTATCTATGCTTCCTATAAATATGTTACTAAGCACGTGAGTGGTCTCTAAACATAGTACAGTAGCACAAGGAAAGACTCAGTGAGCATCCCTCACGTGTTGAAAAACGTCATCTCATCGTTATCTTGTGTGATGCACTCTTAGAACACAGTGCATTAAAAGCGCATGCGGCAACGAGTAATATAAGTCATGAAAATATATGCTGATTCTCTGATTGTTTCTTCTACTATCTGATGTCAGAAAATTCACGAGGCCTCTGAAAGACTGCCAGCAAAAATAGATCCTTCAAGTCCGAAGAATTAACTTCTTTGCAGACATTCCGCTACGAGGCGTTGTTACGTTCCCCTTTCAGAAACAATTAGCGTAAACGGGATTTCTCGCTTATGGGTGTTTGGCGTGAAGAACGCCACCAGTTTCATTCTTTTAGCATTTCTAAACTCAAAAGCAATATTTTCTAGGTTTCATTTTTAGTTGCTCAACACCACTTTTTTTTATGCATTCCACACTCACTTCGTATTTTTTTAAGCACTTGTTCATCACCGCAGAAGCTTTTTCAAAATACAATGTTTCCACTAAAACAACCAACGATTCTTTTTTAGCCAATTCGTACCGGGGTCCCCACGCAGCGTGTTGGGAGTATCCAGGCAGAGTAAGCTTCACCACTGGGGCGACGCGTCACAGCCCCTCGAAGCCCGCCTCTACCCTGTTTAGCTACCGGTGGGTGGCCGGCCGGCACTGGGGATCGAACCCCGCACCTCCCGTAGCTGAAGCGGACGCGTACGTGCAATGCCACAGCTATGGTCTTTTTTAGCCAATTGAACAACCTTCAAAGGTTGTTCAGGTTCAAGAAAGGGAAAGACGACAACCCCCTGTTTATAGCACAAAGCCACAAAAAAAAATCCCAAAACTGTAGCGCATTTACCAAACTGGTTGCGCTCACACAATAATCTTTAAGATGAATTTGTACAACTAGGCCGAATCTCAGTTTTGTTTCAGCACAAAATATTCAATGGCAGCGTAATACGACGCTTGAAGCGTGGAATAAGTAGTGTAAACTACACGCAAAGTAGTTCAAGCAGCGTCCTCACGCCTGAGAGTTGAACAAATTTTCCCATTTGTCATCGATTCTTCGCAGACTACTGACGGGTGCCGTGTCGCTGACACAAGTGTACCTGGCAGCAAGTATAGCCGGCAACTCGTACCTGCACCTGCTGCTCATGTCGTGTGCCGAGCTGTCCGCTTGTGTGGCGCCACTGACACTGCTCGAGCGCGCAGGTTGTGGCCTGGTCGTCTTCTGTGGCTGCTTGTCCGGTGGAGCCGCCTGTCTTGCCCACCTGGCTTTCGCCGGTACGAATCCCTGCTTCGCCGCCATCTTGAGGGTTCTCTCGTATGTGATGAAGTATTCATAAGTGGAGCACGGCTGCATGTTTCTCTATTTCCATCATATTCAACGAATGCGCACAATATATCCAATGCACTGAATGCATAGAAAATTGTCAGATTTCACGTGACAGTGGGAATCGATGATATGCGAAGCACGAATGAGGAAGGTTGATATGTCCCTTTAAAATCAGCACAACGATACGAGGTGGACGTAAATGACATCGTACATTACTTCCATGAGAGTATTACCATGTTTGACGTGTCATTTATCTTCATCGTCTATTCGCGTCATCATCATCATCATCATCATCATCATCATCATCAGCCTGACTACGTCCACTGCAGGACAAAGGCCTCTCCCATGTTCCGCCAGTTAACCCGGTCCTGTGCTTGCTGCAGCCAATTTATACCCGCAAACTTCTTAATCTCATCTGCCCACCTAACCTTCTGTCTCCCCCTAACCCGCTTCCCTTCTCTGGGAATCCAGTTAGTTACCCTTAATGACCAGCGGTTATCCTGTCTACGCGCTACATGCCCGGCCCATGTCCATTTCCTCTTCTTTATTTCAACTATGATATCCTTAACCCCCGTTTGTCCCCTAATCCACTCTGCTCTCTTCTTGTCTCTTAAGGTTACACCTACCATTTTTCTTTCCATTGCTCGCTGCGTCGTCCTCAATTTAAGCTGAACCCTCTTTGTAAGTCTCCAGGTTTCTGCTCCGTAGCTAAGTACCGGCAAGATACAGCTGTTATATACCTTCCTCTTGAGGGATAGTGGCAATCTACCTGTCATAATTTGAGAGTGCTTGCCGAATGTGCTCCATCCCATTCTTATTCTTCTAGTTACTTCAATCTCGTGGTTAGGCTCAGCGGTTATTACCTGCCCTAAGTAGACATAGTTTTTTACAACTTCAAGTGCACTATTACCTATCTCAAAATGCTGCTCTCTTCCGAGGTTGTTGTACATTACTTTCGTTTTCTGCAGATTAATTTTAAGACCCACCTTTCTGCTCTCCTTGTCTAACTCCGTAATCATGAGTTGCAATTCTTCTCCTGACTTACTCAGCAATGTGATGCCATCGGTGAAGCGAAGGTTACTAAGGTACTCTGCATTAACTCTCATGCCTAACTGTTCCCATTCTAGGCCTCTGAAAACTTCCTGTAAGCACGCGGTAAATAGCATTGGGGAGATTGTGTCCCCCTGCTTTACACCCTTCTTGATCGGTATTCTGTTGCCTTCTTTATGAAGCACTATGGTAGCAGTAAACCCCTGTAGATTTCTTCCAGGATGTTTATATATACTTCATCGATGCCCTGATTCCGCACCGTCTGCATGACGGCTGATATTTCTACTGAATCAAACGCCTTCTCGTAATCTATGAAGGCTATGTATAGTGGTTGGTTATATTCTGGGCATTTCTCTATTACCTGATTGATAGGTTGAATGTGGTCGATTGTTGAGTAGCCTGTTCAAAATCCTGCTTGTTCCTTTGATTGATTGAATTCTAATGTTTACTCTGTTAGCAATTACCTTTGTAAATAGCTTGTATACTACAGAGAGCAAGCTGATCGGCCTGTAATTCAAGTTCTTTTCATCTCCTTTCTTGTGTATTAGGATGTTAGCATTCTTCCAAGACTCTGGTATTCTTCCCGTCAGGAGACACCTCGTAAACAGGGTGGATAGTTTTTCTAACATAATCTGTCCTTCATCTTTCAGCAGATCTGATGTTACCTGATCCTCACAGCAGCTTTGCCTCTTTGCATGCTCTCTAAAGCTTTTCTGACTTCTATCATTACTGGTGGGGTGTCATCTGGGTTACTGCTAGTTCTTATAGTATTAAGGTCGTGGTTGTCTCGGCTACTGTACAGATCTCTGTAAAACTCCTCCGCTATTTTAACTATCCTATCCATATTGGTAGTTATTTTGCCTTCTTTGTCCCTTAGTGCATACATCCGACTTTTGCCTATCCCAAGTTTCCTCTTCACTGCTTTGACGCTTCTTCCGTTTTTCAGAGCGTGTTCAATTCTCTCCATGTTATACCTTCTTACATCGCATACTTTACGTCTATTAATCAACTTCGAAAGCTCTGCCAGTTCTATTTTGTCTGTTGTACTTGACACTTTCATGATTTGACGCTTCTTAATTAGGTTCTTTGTTTCCTGGGAAAGCTTGCCAGTGTCCTGTCTAACTACCCTGCCTCCAACTTCCACTGCACACTCCGTAATGATACTCGTCAGATTATCATTCATTGTATCTACGCTAAGGTTGGTTTCCTCACTAAGAGCCGAGTACCTGTTCTGCAGCGACACTCTGAATTCCTGTGCTTTCCCTCTCAGTGCTAGCTCATTGATTGGCTTCTTGCGTATCAGTTTCTGTCGTTCCTTCTTCAAGTCTAGGCGAATTCGAGACCGCACCATTCTATGGTCACTGCATCGTACCTTGCCAACCACTTCCACATCCTGCACGATTCCTGGGTGTGCAGTCATTATAAAGTCTATTTCGTTCTTATTTTCGCCATTAGGGCTCCTCCATGTCCACTTGCGGTTTTGTCGTTTTCGGTAGAAGGTGTTCAAAATCCGCAAATATTGCGTTCTGCGAATTCTACTAGTAGCTCTCCTCTGGCGTTTCTAGTGCCGATGCCATAATCTCCTACTGCCTAGTCTCCAGCCTGCTTCTTCCCTATCTTTGCATTAAAGTCGCCCATCACTATAGTATACTGTGTTTTTACCTTACTCATTGCCGATTCCACGTCTTCATAGAAGCTTTCAACTGAAGTGTCATCATGGCTGGATGTAGGTGCGTAAGCCTGTACTACCTTCATCTTGTATCTTTTATTCAGTTTAATTACAATACCTACCACCCTTTCATTAATGCTATAGTATTCCTCTATGTTGCCAGCTATGTTTCTGTGAATTAGGAACCCCACTCCCAGTTCTCTTCTGTCTGCCAAGCCCCGATAGCAAAGGACGTGCCCATTCTGTTGTACAGTATAGGCCTCATCTGTCCTCCTGACCTCACTGAGCCCTATTATATCCCATTTAACACCCTCTAGTTCCTCGAATAGTACAGCTAGACTTCCCTCACTAGATAAGGTTCTAGCGTTAAACGTTGCCAAGTTCAGGTTCCAATGGCGGCCTGTCCGGATCCAGAGATTCTTAGCACCCTCTGCTGCGTTGCAGATCTGACCGCCGCCGTGGTCAGTTGCTTCGCAGCTGCTGGGGACTGAGGGCCGTGAGTTATTTGACGTATGCATGTGGGAGGTAGTGGCCAGATACTGCACCAAGGTGGCCAATCCTTCTCTGGTGAGGGAGTGCGTTTCCCGCTGTGGTTACCGGTGAGGCCGCACCCCAGGCCTCTTAATGCAGTTCCATCAACACGCGGATTTTTTTTTTAAATCCGGTTGGGAACTGCGTGGCACCGGGATTTGAACCACGGACCTCTTGCATGCGAGGCGGATGCTCTAACCACTACGCCATCGCCGCTCCCCGAAAAGAAGCTATAAGGCTTCAAAGGCCTTGCTTGTATGACTAATAAAACATACATGTTAGTTGCATGTTTATTTGCAGTTACTAGAACTGTAAAAAATATTCGAATGAAGCGGGTTTTCCAGTTAATAGAACATGCAAAAAGTGGGATGCAAAGAACCTGAAATTGTTCAAAGTAATCAGGACTGGTCAATCGCTGTGCACGTGATACCAAATTCGGTATTTGGGGAGCTAGGGAAACGGCCGCGAGAGTGCTATGAGCGCAGCATGTAGTCATGTTTTACACGACGCGCATATCAAGAATACCATGTTTGGAAGTGTCATTTACCTTCATCGTCTCTTTCCGTCACGTAATACCACAATTGGTATATGTGAAGCTAGCGAAACAGCCGCGAGCACATCACGAGCGTTACATGTAGTCATGTTCTTACATAACATGCATCTCATGATTATCGTGTTTGCACTATTCATTTACCTGTTATCTATTCACGTTCCGTAACACGAAATGTGGTATATGTGAAGCTAGCGAAATGCCGCGCATCATGAGCGAGGTGTGTAGTCATGACTTACATGACATGCATCTCACGATTTTCACGTTAGGGTCTTTCACTTATGTTTGCCATGCATTAATGTCTTACTGTACCAGTTTTGCAATATGTCATGTGAACGAAACCACCGCAAGAGGAGCAAGCTCATAAAACGTAAATAATGACATACATGTTATGATTTGCATGTTATGACTTGTCAATTATGCTCTTCATACAGTCATGTTATGCCATACAAAATTTGGTATCTGTACCATTATCGAAACGTTCAGTCAGGAGAGCTAAAGTTGTAGATAGATAGATAGATAGATAGATAGATAGATAGATAGATAGATAGATAGATAGATAGATAGATAGATAGATAGATACGCTCAATGTCGCCTAAGTTCGCGCCAAAAATGTTTCGCATTTAAAACACGAGTGTGGCGGGCGTCTTTGAGCAGGGCGTCCCTGCCTGAGCTTGTGCCTGCTTGCGGTGGCCAAGGCATCAGTGGGAAGCTCGCTGGCAGTACTACCTGCCTGGCTTCTTGAGGGCGCGCCTTGCACCAGGCATCATCACCTCACTCACCTGGCCCAAGTGGCGGAGCTGGTGGCGTTCCCCGTGGTGCCGCTCATCTTCCCGGCGGTGAGGGCTAGTTTTCATTAAAGACTTGACTCGCGAAGTCCTTTTTTTTGCTCACATTTGCTGTTTCATTTTTGGCCAGATGCTTTCAATATGTCGAGCATCATGATTCACTGGCATCTGCTTTAAAAGATAGTTTGTAATTGTATAAAGAGATTGCACACGTTGGCGCTTAGATGCAATCGTAACCACACGTATCTATATTGATAGAGCGTCGGGCTCGGAACAACACGAGCGGCACCTTGAGTTCAAAATGGCCCATATCTGAGCATGCGTGGCGCCAGTGATGTTCCTGCCTTGCGGTTTCCGTCCTTGTTTATAGGCGCGACTGCGATAACTGCTGTGGCCGTCAGAAGCACTGTCAACTGTTTAGCACTGAACGAAAAATCACAGCATATCCACAAGGTGAATCATGACGAGTGGGGCAAAGTGGACGAACAGACGTATGGACGCACGCATGAACGGAAGGACTGATGCACGGATGCACGCATGGACAGACACGCGGACGGATGGATGCATGGATGGAAGCACAGATGGATGGGTGGCGGACGGACTTACCGACGGATGCACGGATGGGCGCTTCGCCCCATTCAGCATCATTCCCTCCATAGATATGCTGTGACACCATTTTTAGTGACATGCAATGCGTTGCAACTGGCTACTACGACTAAGACGACTAAAATTGATATGATATGTGTGGTTTATCGTCCGAAAACCACCATATAAGTATGAGACGCTGTAGTGAAGGGCTCCGGAAATTTATGCCACCTGGGTACAACAGGTGTCTACGACAGAGGCAGCGAGCACCCCAACAACACCGATGAGACGCCAGCAAACGAAGCCTAGTGCAAGCGTCTTCAACGTACCTGCCACCTCTCTTCGCCATTGGAAGAAGCAAGGGTGGCTACTACGATGTACGAGAGACTAACCCACGTCCTAAAGAGGTTCGCCCCTAAAAAGCATGCGATAGTGTGGTCGGCCCCTTTTATACGTTGAACTTATTGTTGATTCGTGGTATCGTGGTGGTGGTAAGTGGAGTTTAAAGTCCCATAACAACCATGTGAATATGAGAGACGCCGTAGCGGAGGGCTCCGGAAAGTTCGACCACCTGCACTCTAAAGATTTTTACGCCCGTAAGGGTATATTTGTTTTGTCCCATGGGCAACACCCTTTTAGAGTGTCTAGGAACACCCTAAACAATAGGGTGTTTAGACACCCTGAAACCGTAGGGTGTAAAGAAACGTTACACATTACTTCAATAGATGTTTATGAACACCCCTAAACTATGGGTATTCGATGAAGTTACACCCATGCGAGTGGGGTGTAACACTAAAAACCCCCCTGAAACGATGACAGTTATATGGATAAGCATACTCGATCAAATGAAGCGCGATTAATGGGACAACAAAAGCAGACACAGGAGGTGACGCTTAGTCTTGTGTGTTGAGAAGAGCCGTTCATAGCACATCATTCCATCAAATATGCATCACCGACTGGCCCAAACCTCAATTGTTCTCGGGGAGAAGCATATATGAACCTTTTCTGCGGCTGACAGGAAAGAGGGAAGATACTGGTGTCACCCACTGCACTTATACCTGCATGCATGCAGCTGATAAATAAGGGGCCGTGGTCTTTAATGAGCTGCGTAAGACCAGTGTATATATGTGTAGGTTGACTGGGCCGAAAACGACAAAGTAGGACGCGGAAGACACTTACACAGACAGACGCGCACACACACACACACACACACACACACACACACACACACACACACACACACACACACACACACACACACACACACACACACACACACACACACACACACACACACACACACACACACACACACACACACACACACACACACACACACACACACACACACACACACACACACACGCACGCACGCACGCACCATGGTAGTGCAAGCAGTAACCTGTAGCGTAAGGTTCAACCGAACATAACGCCGAAGCAAAAAACAATTAAGCCCATATGTTAACATCTGCCTTTAATATAGAAAAAATTCAAGTCTGACAAACAGGAGTCTGATGGCATTCTGCAAAATTTTGAAATATCTCACGTGACCAAGTTTTTTTCTCTCTCTATACTAGAAATTCATTGTTTTCAATACAATAAATCCCCACAACTTTCAAAAACTTTTGCGCTAGTCGGGCAAACGACTGAGAGGTATGGCGTTGATTGACACCTATACAATAGAAAAAACACGTAGAAAGAATAAGCGAGTTTTTGGAGTCCCATTTACAACCTAATATATCTCGCAGTATATATTTCGACATTAAAAAATGGGAACATTCGACAAAGTGGTGTAGTTGGGGTTGTATTAATGTAATGTCAGTGTTGGTATACTTGTAACTGCAAAACCACAGCTCGTCCCTGCTGCTTGCACAATCATCTTCAGCTGCTGAGATGACTGGTGCCTTAGAGAGAAGTGGGGCGAAGCTGTTCTTTCTGTACAGGAAATTCAATCCCGGAAACCTGAAATAAATACACAAGAAACAATGACTGAAATTTCACAAAGAGTGCAACACACAGTATGCACCCTGCATAACAAACTGCTTTCTTATCTGTAAGTATAAATTGAGTGCATAGCAAGCATATTCAGTGGCAACGGGCTCCACTGCAGTGATAAATGCTAGAAAAGGTATGCTGAGCGATAAACGCCATAAAAAGCGCGCTGTGGCAGAATCATTATACCTTCCGTGCCGGAGATATGAACCTTTCTTTACCCTTTCAGGTTGCTCGCCCAGGCAAATAAAAAGGTGCTGCTCCAAGTTGATAATGTTCCATTAGCTGCATGCATCGACCAATCTGAGTGAATGTCAAGCTCCATGCCTAAGTATGCATCAACACAGCTGCATGTGTATTCCTGCAGATCTACCATGGTACTCATTCGATTAGTTTATTATAAGGAATACAGTACGACGCGCAACAACATATACATATTTTATCTGTATTGCACAAAAGCACAATGCCACTGAGCACACATGATGGTATGCGCATTGAGAAGCGCATACCGTCATGTATGCGTTCAGTGCAGGTAACTTGTAAAATAGGTACCGTACAGTTACGTATTAAAATGCGAATGATACTAGTGACACGATTATATAATGGAAGAATTGGCTATTGGATCATTCCACGTCAGACGCCCCAGCCATTTCGGCGACCATCTCAAATGTATTAAAATATCGCGCTGATTTTACTGCATTAAAAAAGGCAACTGCTATATTTCGCAGACAAATAGTTTTTCGGTCACGTGGCTGCCTCATGAACTACCCGGAATCTCGTCTGGATGTTTGTGCAAAAAATATTTCGTAAGTTCCTCTTCTTCCGTGCCAAATTCGGTGTGCAAGTTAAGTGAAGGGCTTGCATAAAGTGTTTGAAGCTCAGTAATATTATTACCATTTTTCGACCACATACGCCTCAAATATTTTAGCTGAAATGTGCTATATCTGCATTTTTCTATATCAGTACTGCACTTTGAATGAATACCTGAGGAGTGAATACTTAATCCACAAAAGCTATATTTGGAGGAAAAAATATTTTAGACCTCTCAAGCTGTCAAACTTCTCGAGAAAAAAATTGCTAATTTCACAAAATAGTTGTTTTGTCTATAATCAGACGCAACTTTCACTATATGGTGGTTGAATTAAAATAGACTTTGTGCTTCAATTGAAAGGAAATAAACAGTTCTTTTTATGTGCCAAATTTTGTCATAGCAATTTATGTTTTGAGAACAAGATCACAGCATGTCCACAGAGTGAATGATGATGAGTGGGGCATAGCTTTCGTCCATCCGGACGCACAAACGGATGGGCAGACAGTCTGACGCCAGTATAGACGGACAGAAAGACGGGCGGACTCACGGACAGACCAACACATGGAAGCCCGGACTGATGGATGCACAGACGAACGGCAGAAATCACAAATGTACGGACGAACGATTTGCCCCACGAATCATCATTTTGTCCGTGTATATGCTGTGAAAACCACTAACGCTATCTATTGTGCAACTCATAAAGTGGCTACATAATACAAGTACGACTACAGAGAAGGGAACGAACGACCCACGGCCTCAAGGGCTGCCTAAATGATTTTCGAAGTTCCACGTTCCCCATTTTCCATTTGGCCATACGGCAGCCGACGCCTCGAAGTTCCCCATTGCTGTTGATTAGAAAATTCAAAAAATATTTTATTCCTTGAAATAGAAATTGTAATGATGAAACTTGTCACATACAAAGAACTGTTCATTTGCTTTCAATTTAAATAAAAGATGATTTTTATTTGGACAACCACAAGGTGCAATTTGCGCCTCAATACGGACAAAAATGGCAATTCTGTGAAATGAGTGATCTTTTCTCGTAGAGGTTAACAGCTTAAGATGTCTAAAAATAATTTTTTATCAAAATATCTTTTCTGTGAAGTAAGTAGTCACAGCTGAGATATTCGTATAAAGTGCAGTATCGCAATGAGAAAAAGCAAACATAACACATTTTGGCTAAATTCTTGCAGACATATGTGGCCGAAAATTTGTAATAATACTACTGAGTTTCAAACACCTTACATAAGCCTCTTTACTTAACATGTACCAAACTTGGTATATAAAAAAAGGAGCGATACTTGTAATTTTCTTTCACAAACAACACTCAAACAACAGTCTGGAATGTTTAAAAGGCAACCACGTGACCAAAAACTTTTTTCCCTCCGAACTATTCAAGCAGTTCACTGTTTTTAGTGCATTAAATCAGCACAATTTTTTTTCAAACACATTTGCCATAGCCTCAATATTCAATAAAGTGACCCTGTTACTTTCACTCAATGTCCATTCCATACTGCTAAATTAGGGCCATTTGTTTCAATTATGCTGGCAGGCTGAGAAAGCATAACTCCTTCCCGATGCAGCGTAGGCCGTTCAGTGGCTGTGCGTGTTGTGCTCCCAGATAAATATGCTGCCCAGTCTTACATTTTGGCTGCAACACATGCTTAGATACCGTGCAGTACGTGCCCTCCACTACGGCG